AATCCACTTATTTTTAAAGTAATATAAATGCTAAGCATAAATGTGACCAAATAATGCAAATAATGCAGTAAAACAGCATTCATTTCTGTCAAGTAGCATATTAATAACCATAAACATAAATATTATACCATGAATTTTTATGTGATTTACATAAAACTTCTATTTACCATTCTACATATTATAGAAGGGACTAAAAACCTGCCTTCTGAAATGCATCATAGCAGATATTTATTGCTATGCTGTCAAAATGATTGACTTTTAAACAAGCAGCTTTTCTCTAAAAAGAGAAAGGTGACCACAGCTTATTAACCTGTTATTTCAAAGGCAAGAATTGGATTTCAACCTTTAGCTTTGATCCAATTTAAATAAATACCAACCAGCTGCTATGTGAGTTGCTATATCTGATATTGATTTGTTCTGATATTTATTTTGCATGTTGCGTTTTAACATGACCGAGGTAAATTGGGATGTATGGCACTTGTATTCATTTGCAAACCCAATTAAGACCAATAAATCAGTGCCCAGATCTTTGTTAGATGTCGTGCTCCGTTACTCACTGACTGCTTATGAAGTGCAGACAAACAGTCCTTACTCTAACCCCAGAAATGAATTGATTGTTCAGTGAGAATGAGAAAAATAAGCACAACAAACAAAAACTAAACAGTTCATTTTCCAATCCTAGAGTAACTGGGATATGAAGGTCCTCCCGAGAAGCTTTCCAATTCCTTGTGCACCTTCTCCAATTTGCTTATCTGCAGCATACAAGAACACAAGTTATATGAAGGGCTAAATTGCCATTATTCCCTCCCTCCCTCTCTGTGCGTGTACACATAGGTAGGTAGGTAGGTAGGTAGGTAGGTAGGTAGGAAGGAAGGAAGGAAGGAAGGAAGGAAGGAAGGAAGGAAGGAAGGAAGGAAGGAAGGAAGGAAGGAAGGAAGGAAAGGAAATTCAATGATAATGTCAGCAAGTTGGGGAATGAAATGTCTATAAGAAAACAACCAAGCTCAGGGAGGGAGGGAGGGAAGGAGGGAGGGAGAAAGGAAGGAAAAGAAAGAAAGGGAAGGAAGGAAATAAGAAAGAAAGAAAGAAAGAAAGAAAGAAAGAAAGAAAGGAAGGAAGGAAGGAAGGAAGGAAGGAAGGAAGGAAGGAAGGAAGGAAGGAAGGAAGGAAGGAAGGAAGGAAAGAAAGAAAGAAAGAAGAAAGAAAGAAAGAAAGAAAGAAAGAAAGAAAGAAAGAAAGAAAGAAAGAAAGAAAGTTAGTTTTCATGGTTCAGAAAGCAAGACCGAAGAATACCCCAGTCATTTTCTGCTCTAAATAGGGATATTTATAGAACATCAGTTTACTCTAGTTGTTAAGCACCAGGCTAGAAAGTGGGAAACTATGAATTCAAATCCCGTCTTACCCATGAAAAACAGCTAAGTGACTTCAGGCTAGTCCAGGGGTAGGCAACCTTGGCTCTTTTATGACTCGTGGACTTCAATTCCCAGAATTCCTGAGCCAGCCACGCTGAGGGGACAGGGAGAGGTTTCCAAGCTGAGCCATGCTGGCTCAGGAATTCTGGGAGTTGAAGTCCACGAGTCATAAAAGACCCAAGGCTGCCTACCCCTGGGTTAGTCACTCTCTCTCAGCCCAACTCACCTCACAGGGTTGTTGTGGGGAAACAGGAGGAACGAAGGTGGGTTGGCTATGTTCGTTGTCTAGTTTTTTGTAAAAATTATAAAGGCGGGATACAAATAAATAAAATGAAAAAAATGAAATGAATTAACATTGCTTCCATAAGCAAACTTCAGATGGCCTCAAATAATTTCTCTCTGGGGGCGGGGGTTATTTTATTATCTATTATTTATATGAGTCTAAAACTTCTGACCCCAAGGACAACACAAGCAATAGGAACCCCAAACAATTGAAACGGTTAGTTTGTCGTTTACTTAAAATTTCATTTTGGGTAAGGACATGTTGGTTCTGACCAAATTATCATTTATTACATATTGTTTCATCTTCTATTTGGGGTACATAAATCCTGACACCGAGAATTAATTTTATACTTCAGCAATTCTAAAAATAGTTATATGCTGTTAGTATGAGTTGCCCGGAAGAACCGGTGGAGCACCGACTGCAACTTTATAAATTATGTACACAGTTTTCCTCCTGCATTATTGAAATTACCAGGTTTATGAGACGCTGTGCGATGCGGCTTTTCAATTACGTTCTAGAAAATGCTGAAAAATGCTTTCCTCTTGGTTTTATTAGGTACAAGTATACTTAGCGACGTAAAACCAAAACTCCAGGGAGTCTGTTCCTCTATATCAGTGTTTCTCAACCTTGACAATTTTAAGGCATGTGGACTTCAACTCCCAGAATTCCACAGCCAGCAATGCTGGCTGTGGAATTCTGGGAGTTGAAGTCCACATGCCTTAAAATTGTCAAGGTTGAAAAACACTGCTCTATATCAGACATGTCAAACACAAGGCCCGGGGGCCGGATGCGGCCCGCGAAGTGGTTTCATGTGGCCCGCGAAGCCATCCTGGAAACAATGAGGGAATGGCCCCCGCTGCCTTAGCCCTGGCCCAGGCCGGCCGGGAGCCAATGTACAATTTTGTGGTGGCCATCTATGCTGAAACACATTCAGTCTTAGCTCCACAAGGCCGTCCGGAAACAGCAAGGAACCAGCCCCTACCGCGTCGGCCCCGCCCCCTGGGTGCATGCTAGGGAAGTGTCACCCTTTGTGAGGAATGAAGAAATGCACCATGCCTTGGCGCTTGCCCCGGTCCAACCCCCCTTCTGCCAGAGACCCTCAGATCTGTCCCACTCCTGCCCAGGCCCCCACAGGCACCCTTGACGCGAACGATGTAGAGCTGGCCATGCCCACCCAGTAGGCCACACCCACTCCATCCACATCCACCCAGTAGGCTGCACCCCCCCCCCCGGCCCCCTGAGGGCAACCGCAATGCTGATGCAGCCCTCAATGAAATTGAGTTTGACACCCCTGCTCTACATCATCTTTACCCATGGGAATCGGACACCGAGTTACAAGTCTTTCCCAAGGAACTAAGAGGCAGCTGGCCTTCAGAAGTTGTGGGTGCTTCATCACTGGAGGGTTTTAAGAAAAGACTGGATAGCCCTTATCTCAAACTGCCTTGAATCTCTGCTATCTAGAAAGAGGCCCCAGAAGGAACCCACCTTAATCCGTTCACAGGGTATCTCTGATAAGTTATGCTTTACTCTGCCAAGATTCCTGCCTATGGGCAACCAAGTTAGGCAACCGACAGTGTGTCTGTCAGTGGTTAATCATGGACATCTGGTTCTAAGACTAAGGTGTGGGTCCCTCTGGCCCTGCATTGGAGGGCAGAGCAAGTGGGTGTCTTTCTTCTCCTGAACTTCTCCAGAACTTCTTTTTTTCATCCAATTTGAATTGGAAGGTGCTCCATACCAGAAACTGTGCTGGTATGGGCTACCCTCAACTCTGTACCTGGAGAACATTATTTCAGAACTCAGGGGCATTAAAAGTGTTTTCCCCACACATTTTCAAACTCATCTACACAGCCGTGAAGACTGATGCCTTTTTTTAAAAAAAGTAAGAGAGCGAAGCAACCTGGAATTAAGGAGAAACTTCCTGACAGTGAGGACAATCAATCAGTGGAACAGCTTTGCCTCCAGAAACCGTGGGCACTCCATCATTGGAGATTTTCAAGAAGAGACTGGACAATCACCTCTCTGAGATGGTATAGGTTCTCCTGCTTGAGCAGGGGGCTGGACTAGAAGACCTCCAAGGTCCCTTCCAGCTCTACTCTACTCTACTCTACTCTACTCTACTCTACTCTACTCTACTCTACTCTACTCTATTCTGTTGCAGAGTTTGGTTAAACATTTTGCAAATAAAGGAATGGTGCTTAGAATGGGGAAATATTAGAATAGAGTAGAGTAGAGTAGAGTAGAGTAGAATAGAGTAGAGTAGAGTAGAGTAGAGTAGAGTAGAGTAGAGTAGAGTAGAGTAGAGTAGAGTAGAGTAGAGTAGAGCAGAGCTGGAAGGGACCTTGGAGGTCTTCAAGTCCAGCCCCCCGCTTAAGCAGGAGAACCTATACCATCTCAGACAAGTGACTATCTAGTCTCTTCTTTAAAATCTTCAGTGATGGAGTGCCCACGATTTCTGGAGGCAAGCAGTTCCACTGGTTAATTGTCCTCACTCTCAGGAAGTTTCTCCTTAGTTCCAGGTTGCTTCTCTCCTTGATCAGTTTCCAACCATTGTTTCTCATCCTTCCCTCTGGTGCTCTGGTGAATAACGTGACCCCCTCTTCTTGGTGGCAGCCCCTCAAATACTGGAACACTGCTATCATGTCTCCCCTATTTCTTCTTTTCTTTGGACTAGCCAAACCCAAGTCCCGCAGCCAGGGCCAATCTTTCTTGTATTTTCCCGAAGCCTTCCCGAGTCGGTCTCTAACTGCCAATCATCATCTATCAACCCGTTCAAGGAGTTAACATTGGTTCCATAGGTTACGAAGCCATTTAGGAGCAAGTGACTGAAAAATTGTCTGAGATTTTGCATTCTGAGAAAACGCTCGGCTTGTGGCATCTCATGCTGTGGACTTGGCAGCCTTTTGGAGGAGATTGTTCTAAAAATGTAAAATCATTTTTCCAGTGAGCAGAGACTTCGGTTAAAGGTTTTTATTTGCAAAACATTTGTTCTTCCCATCAGCCTAACTGCAGTCCTCCCTGGTAACCATTGTTTTTATTATTCGTAATTTTACACATGATGATATTTACTGTTTGACTGGCCTCGTTGCGATTATTGGAATCTAAACTCTATTTACCTGTTTAGTAAAATGAAAATCACCCTGTATGCTTTAAAACTAAATAAGCCGTATCTATGTTTTATAGATGACAATGAAAATTATTCGTACCTTTCATCTCCCAAATATGGAAATTTTAGTTAATGTAGCACATGGCATTTCTGGTTACCATATTTTAACCTTAATAACATTTCTTTGCATTGTACTATGAATTTCTAGAGTAGGGTGGTTTTAACGAGCTCTGGGGGTAAACTAAAAAGGGCCTGCTTAGTCCACAGTCACCACAAATTATGATGTGTTTATAACAGTACAATACCAAACAATTCATAACCCAAGCAGAGAAGGAAGCTGATTTCAAATATATAGACAAGTCCATCAGCTTGGAAACCTCTCCCTTTCCCCTCAGCATGGCTGGCTCAGGAATTCTGGGAATTGAAGTCCACGAGTCACAAAAGAGCCAAGGTTGCCTACCCTTGGCCTAGGAAGTTAGAGGTGCACCTTAGTGTAGCCAAATAACACCTCTACTTCACAAGCTGCGTTGGCTCCCAGTGAGCTTCCAGGTACAATTCAAGGCAGTGTACCATCTACAAAGAGGGGGGCACAATGACTCAACAGTTAAAGACATTGAGCTTGTCAGCTGGAAAGCTGACAACCCGGGTTCAAGACTCTAGTGCCCACGACGGGGTGAGGACACGTTCTCGCCCCAACGCCTGCCAACCTAGCAGTTTGAAAGCATGTAAATGTGAGTAGATAAATAGGTACCACTTCAGTGAGAAGGTAACGGCATTCCGTACGCCTCAACGTATAGTCACGATGGCCACATGACCACGGAAGTGTCTTCAGTCAATGCTGGCTATCTCAGATAAGAAACGGAGATAAGCACTACCCCCTATAGTTGGACACAACTGGACAGGAGAAATCTTTACCTATCACCTACAAAGCCCTTCATGGAGCAGGAGTGGGTTATTTGTGGGACTGCCTGTCTCTTGATGGTTTCTACCCATCCCACGTGGTCCAACAGAACAAGCACATTGCCGGGCCTTGGTTGAAGCAATGACATCTGATGGGACCTAGTAGGCCTGCCTCTTCAGTTATGGTGCCTGCCCTGTGGAATGACTCCTGGCCCCACTGAGATTTGACTAGCCCCAACCCTGTAGGCCTCTGAGAAGGCTTGAACAAGACCTGGATGTTCCATCAGGCACTGGAGCCAAAATGTTGGGTGGAAGGTTGAGTATACGCGGTTACATCCTGATTGTGTGATTTGTTTGGGGGAGCTGCAAATTGTGATTTTGTTTTATTGTTGTATGCCACCCCCAGAGTTGTAATTTTGCAATCTGGGCAACAAAACAAACACATATGTACGTACATACGTACGTAACAATGCATCCTGCCCATATCATTGCTATACGACCTTCTTTAAGGTTAATATTCCCTACAACTGGCAGGGAAAACAATTTATAATGGATTTATCAAGGATGCAAAATGGCCTGCCCAAAGATGATGTCTTTCCTTCATTTTAACGTAATCCCACTTTGGATATGTCTCTTAAGAAGGAGATATATTTAATATACATCTGTTGAAGTTGAAGTTCAGGTTTGCACCGATCTTTAGGAAATGTATGAAGTAGCAATTGGAAATTTGATTTAAACAAATGGTTTAAGTCATTCTGTTCTATTCAATAAATTTAATGAATAAATAATTTGGAAAAAACAAAAAACATTCTCCTTGCCTGAGTATCTCATCTACTAGGCAGATACCATCTTATATATTTTGGACTCTGCAAAGCAGAATTGTATGATCTACAAAATGAGCATGAATATATTTAAAATATATATATTTTCAGCAATGTTAAGATGTAATTCTCTTCCTAATTAATATGAACAGCAAGAATTATAAATTAATACCAAGATGAACTCTGCTTCTAAAAACATATTAGGCTGAGCTATCAGTTGCTTTTGCCATTTCCATGACATTAATATTTGCCAAATAGAAAGTTCTTACTGTTAAACTTTCAAATATCATTTGCTAATTGTTTATTTATTAATTACATTTATGTAGCCGCCCATCTCACAAAAAGATTCAGGGCGGTGCACAGCAAATCTAAAAACAACAGATATAGAATATAAAAATCCATATTAATATTATATAATAAATTAGAGAACCCTGTCAAAAATTAAAATTTAGCCATTGGTATTAGATAAAACTTTAAACCCACCATCATTCAGATCCTGCAGAAGGTTTTCGTGACAGGAGAAATCAAGCTTGACTTTAATATACACAGTAAATACAGCAATACTTCCTGGCTTTAAAGGAAACTGTGAGAGTGTATCTTCTAGATTCCAACTCAAGAAGTCACCAAACATTTTTCCTAAAATAAAAACATACAGAGGTTAAATGTAAATGCAAACACAATTAACGTATATCCCTTCAACCCAGTGTTACATACATACACTCCGGCATTTGCAGAGATGTTAATGATTGTAATGCTTTCTCAAGAAATTTAAAAAAAAAACTGCTTTCCATCATCCTTCAATATTCCTGTAATACAACAAAAAGAGCTACTAAAAGGTGAATTCCATCTATCCACTATTTTCAGAAAAGATTTTCGCTTCCCAATCAGATAATGGAATATAAAAATTGTTGACTTAGAAGGCACTCTAAAATTAAGCTTCATCTGATGCCGAATTAGATTTCCATAAAACGTATTTAAAATGGTAAATCTGTATTACGTTAGCATCTGAAGATTTGAACTCTCCGTTATTGACTTTTGTTCTTATGGTTAGTCTTCATAAACACAAGTCTTCTACTTCCACCCAAGGTACTAAGAATGACAATTCCTATATTTCAACTCAAAATATGATTTTGGAGAGGGGAAAACAGTTTTCTCTGCCCTAGTCAAAATCAGCCTAGAACGAACTTGAAATTCTTCACAATATGTGATGTATTTAAAGCGCTCCATGGCATCGGACCTGGATATCTCCGAGACCGCCTTCTGCCGCAGATTACCTCCCATCGGCCGGTACGCTCCCACAGAGTGGGTCTCCTCAGGGTGCCGTCAGCCAGACAGTGCCGGCTGGCGACCCCCAGGGGGAGGGCCTTCTCAGTGGA